TGTTAAGAGATGGAGGGTGGCAGAATGGATAAGAAAACAAGATCCTTCAATATGCTGTCTGCAAGAGACACATCTCACACACAGAGACAAAAATAGATTAAAAGTCAAAGGATGGAAAAAAATATACCAAGCTAATTGCAATCAAAACCTAACAGGAATGGCAGTACTAATCACTGATAAATTAAACTTGAAGGCAAAAAACAGCATAATAGATAAAGATGGACATTATGTCATGATTAAAGGGACAGTTGAACAACATGAAATAACCATAACCAATGTCTATGCTCCCAATGAAAGAGCTCCAAAATATATACAACAAACTCTAATAGATTTGAAGAAAGAAACAGATGAATCTACAATAATGGTGGGTGATTTTAATACACCGCTTTCAAAAATGAATAGAACAACTAGAAAGAAACTTGACAAGGACACAGAAGAACTAAACAACACAATCAGCCATTTGGACCTCATAGACATGTACAGAGCATTCAACCCAACAACTGCACAATCCATATTCTTTCCAGGGCACATGGAACATTATCCAGAATAAACCATGTTTTAGGCCACAAAACAAATCTCCATAAATTTGCAAATATCAAGATACTACAAAGCATCTTCTCAGACCACAATGTTATCAAATTAGAAATCAACAATAGGAAGACCAAGGAAATCAAGTCAAATACATGGAAACTGAATAACACCCTGCTGAAAAGCAACTGGGTAGTAGAAGAAACTAAACGTGACTTCACAAAGTTCCTAGAAACAAATGAGAACGAAACCCAACATACCAAAATCTTTAGGACACAGAGAAAGCAGTGCTGAGAAGACAATTTATTGCAATAAACGCACACATCCAAAAAGAAGGAAGAACCAAAATTAACATCATTAAAACAGCATCTACACCAATTAGAAACAGACCAACAGAGGGAACCAACAGCAACATTTTTCAACATTAGGAAAACAATCCATGTTATCCACCATATAAATAAGAAAAAAGAAAAGAACAACATGATCATATCAATTGATGCAGAAAAGTATTTGACAAAATCCAACATCCATTCCTAATAAAAACACTCAACAAAATAAGAATTGAAGGGAAACTCCTCAACATAATCAAGAACATATATACAAAACCAACAGCCTACACTACTCTCAATGGAGAGAAACTGAAAGCCTTCCCTCTGTGAAGAGGAACCAGATAAGGAAGCCCTTTGTCACCACTCCTATTCAATATTGTGCTGGAAGTCTTAGCAAGAGCTGTATGGCAACACAGGGAAATTAAAGGCATCCAAATTGGCAAAGAGGAAGTAAAACTCTCTCTATTGGAAGACGATATGATCCTATATGTAGAAAACCCCAAAGACTCAGTAAAAAAGCTACTAGACCTCATTGGAAGATTCAGCAAAGTGGCAGGATATAAGATC